AAACAGGCCGAAAAAAGGCAAAAGATTGGGAATACCCCCTTAATCCAGCATTTCGTACCTGCGTACACTGTGGTGCAAAGTTGATCGGACAAAGGTCGTTTTCATACAAACTAGCCAAGTTTAACATGTTATAAATGTGTTTTGTTATGATCAATTGGGCTGAAATTTTGACGCAAAACTACAAATATGTTGAATTTCACGTGTAAGAAATACCAAATTTTTTGAAGCACCTGCTGGAAGGTGACAATAAAAAAAAATTTGTTATCGGACAAAGGTCAATGGAAAAGCAAGTTTTGAGTCAAAAATTGATCTCGATTGATCTGACAGAACACATTTACAACATGTTAAACTTGTTTAATTTTTAAGTGCAGACTTGTGTGTATGCAATGAGAAGTCACCACCAACTTTTTTGCAGCAAAGTACACTTCTGCGTTGAAAATAATCCCTTAAAATAGTGTTCACTCAAGCCAGATAAATAAAAATATTAATCTTCAGAGTTCTATCATTACTAGCGTGTTGATATGATCGGTCAAGTCAGACCGAAATGTGAATTTTTTATTTGATTTTGAGAAAAACGATTTTAAAGTTGGCTGTTCAATATTGTGTCTTATGTAATGGGGAAAAAACCTTTGGCCGTTTTCTCGTGCTACTCTAATTTTTCAAATCTGGCTGAAGAAGTGAAATGTAGCTGAGGGAATTCTTGATCTTATGATATCATTAACTCATTTTTTGTTTTTATTTTGCTACTTAGTCCCTTCTGACTTAAGGCCGACCATATGCTCTTGTATAGTATAGTGCTGTTTTACATTCAAAATCGTCCATTTATATTTTTACTGGTCTGAGTAAAAGTTTTCTGAGGGATTCTGAGTTTAATTTGGTGCAAATGCGCAAAAACTTGTTTATTTTTCCACCAAATGGGCTGAAAGCTTCAGAGGCTTCCAAAAAAATGTATTTCAAAAGATTTCCGCATAAGGACTTGTTGAAGGACACATAGTTCCACAGATATTCCGCTATTATTTGGGTGCTAACATGCTAACGGTATCCCAACTACCGTAAGGTTACCATCCACCGCTCACGTAGCTTTCCTTTACCTTCCTTTAGCATCCTTTCGACAAGCCATTGCGTCTTCCTAGGATCATGAGTGGTGATCTTACGGTGATTCCAGTATATCTCTGGAACCATGTGTTGAGTCTGCTTGAATCTATACTAGAAGATATTTCTGGAACCATCTAAAAACTTCACCCCATTTCAAAAGACACATACGAAAAGGGCACACAAGTCTTCTGTGAACAAACCCTTGCAGTCCCTTATCTCGTCACCCGACAACATCACTTATGATGGGACCGCGAGAGTCAAAGCATGCGAAACAGCGCACGGCAATGGCGCCCTGAGAGAGCGCATTGAGATGTTTCAATGAAACAGTCGCATGTGATTGAATACATGCGTCGCATTGAGAGAGCAATGCGATGAGACAAACAAAAATTGAAACGCTCGAATTTGTTGAGAGCGTGTAGCTTGTCAAGCGCATCGTTACGGTATCTCTTTTGTACAATTAATGTAGCACACCATGGATTTGAGAGTCATGCGACGCTCCGTCTCACAGCTCGCTGTCGCATTTGTGTACGCGTGAGATTTCCGGAAGCCTGGTTCTCGCAGATAATGGACAGACTCACTGCGATACTTGTCGGCTTAAGACCGGTGCCGTCAGCATACAGGCCAATCAGTTTGCTGGACACCACTGGTAAACTGCTTGAGAGGGTCATCCTCAACAGGTTGTTGGCTTACACCGAAGGTGTAGACGGCCTGTCAAGCAGCCAGTACGGGTTCCTCAAGGGTAGATCTACGGTGGAAGCCATCTGCGTCGTCATTCAGACGGCAGAGGTGGTCCATCGGTAACGAAGGGGTATTCGTTACTGCGCGGTGGTAACTTTAGACGTGAAGAACACGTTCAACAGCACGTGCTGGGGGGCGATAGCCCGCTCGCTACACCAACTCTGAATCCCCGGAGGGCTGTACAAGATTCTGGAAAGCTACTTCCAGAATCGTGTTTTGAAGTATGACACAGAAGATGGCGAAAAATGAGTTAGAGTCACCGCAAGAGTGCCACAAGGCTCCATCCTGGGCCTGGTGTTATGGAACGTCATGTACGATGGAGTGTTGAGGATAAGATTCCCAGTAGGCGTGAAAATTGTTGGTTTTGCCGACGATGTCACGCTGGTAGTCTACGGGGAATCCCTCGAAGAGGTAGAGCTGACAGCGGCTCACTCCGTTAAGTTTGTGGAGGAATGGATGAGATTCAGGAAACAGGAGCTTGTCCACCACAAGACGGAGGTAGTCGTAGTCAACAATCGCATGTCGGTGCAGCATGCGACGTTGACAATGGGCGAGAGCACAATTAGATCCATGCGCTCTCTGAAACTCCTGGAGGTTATGCTACATGATAAGCTCAGCTTCGGCTGACACGTCGAGTACGCCTGCAAGAGAGCCTCTACGGCTGTGGGGGCATTATCCCGCATGATGTCCAACAGCTCGGCGGTGATTGCCAGTAAGCGCAGGCTCCTCGCAGGGGTCGTAGTATCTATCCTCAGATACGGAGGCCCTGCATGGGCTGCGGTACTGGATACCGACTGCCATAGGCGGAAACTAGAGAGTACACATAGGCTAATGTGCTTGAGGGTGGCCAGTGCATATCGCACCATCTCGAGGGAGGCCGTCTGTGTCATAGCCGGCATGATGCCAATCCGCCTCATCATTAAGGAGGATGTGTAGTGCTATGACACGAGGAGCGTTCGAGAGGCGCGCAACAACGCACGCGCAGTATGGATTGTGAGGTGGCAGTCGGAGTGGAAAAATTCCACAAAGGGGAGGTGGACCTACCGCTTGATTCCTTCCGTATCAATCTGGGTCAATAGGCGCCATGGGGAAGTAAACTTCTACCTGACACAGTTCCTGTCAGGCCATGGCTGCTTTAGGAGTTACTTGCATAGGTTCGGAGATGCAAGTACTCCCACCTGCCCCGCGTGTGCTGGTGTTGAAGAGACGGCGGAACACGTTATGTTCGCCTGTCCACGCTTCGAGCCAGTAATGAGCGTTATGCTAGCGATATGCGGAGTGGACACCAGTCCGCATAACATCGTCCCTAGGATGTGTGGTACTACCGAGAACTGGAGCGCTGTGGTGACTGCGGTGACCCACATAATTGCGGAGCTACAACGAGCGTGACGTGCCGAGCAGCAGTTGACTACTGCCCGACTAGAGCGTTAGAGTACGGCTAGAGGAGCGCTATAGCGCACAGGCCCCTCCCACGAAGTAATGCCTTTGGGCGGTTCCGGGGAGGTCAAGGGCCAAGGGCACAGATAGGGTTTAGTGGGTCGGGAGTGCAATTCTCCCATCCCCACACCCTGAGTTTCTTTCTCAGGTGTCTGTGAGCAAATTCCCCGCTGTATAAACACTGCAAATGTAAGACCTATTCTGGAATACTGCCACATAGTATGGAGCCCATGCACTGGCATACACGAAGAACGCATTGAATCTGTCCAAAAGCAATTTATTTTGTATGCTCTTCGACGACTAAATTGAACTGCATTTCCTCTACCATCCTATGAAGCACGCTGCATACTACTCAATCAACAAACACTAAAGGAACGGCGTGAACTTGCAATGGTTTTCTTTATCAATGATCTTATTTCTCATCGCATAGAATCTGCAGCAATACTCTCTCAACTGAATTTTTATGCGCCCTTTAGACCTCTTAGAACTCTAAAATAATTCTATGAAAATACCTGTAGAACAAATTACACAAAAAATGGCCCCATCAATCGAATGATGCACCTGTATAACATAAATTGTCTAGAAATTGACATCATTTTGTCTAAAAACCAAATAAAAACTCAAGCGGCGCATGTGGTGTAGTGGTGAGCGTGATTACCTCTCACCCCAGCAGGCATGGGTTCAATCCCAGTCGGCGCCGCCGGGATGTTCTGAGTCATAACATATCTGATCACGCCTTCCTTCGGAAAGGAAGTAAAGCCGTTGGTCCCCGGTTCATGAGTTGATGGGTCGATAGGTAGGGTCCAGGTGTGGGAGCTGCCTCCCTGGCGTCGGTAGCATTGGTGTTCAGCACGGAAAACAAGATCAACGGAAAACAAATCAAGGAAAAAGAAGATGTAGGAGGAAGGTACAAAAACAACTGAATCCGTAGTTTATGAACAGCCCCCTACAAGAAAACATAGTTTTCTTCTTCTTCTTCTTCTTCTTCTTCTTCTTCTTCTTCGCATTTCAAGCTTATTGCATATAGCATATTACCTTATTGCATGCTCTCAACTTAGTGTTCTAGATGCACTTGCACAGTTATTAATTGAGCGCTTCCGATGCCTGTACCATTTTTGCATTAGTATAATTGTGTGGCAAGTACAATCATACTCTATGCCCAGGGAAGTTGAGAAATTTTCCAACCCGAAAAATTCCTAGACCGGCCGGGAATCGAATCCAGCCGCGTCCAGTATGGTCTTGCTTTGTTTTTACTGTATAAAAAGACTGAAAGCGCTGTATGAAACCAAATTCTAAACAACTTTGTTAAACTATCATTCCTAAAGCACGGGATCTAGCATTTCAAAAATACGAATGGACAATTCGACAGTGAGCATGCTTAAGGGCGAATACGCGATGATCGATTCTCTTCTTCGATTTTCTCTTTGCATTGCTACAGCTAAGCGAAACAATTTTCTAGAATTTGTTCAATGCGGAGTAGTTACAGGTTGTATTGGCTATCAAAAGCAACAACAAACGCACCGAGAAACGTTAAATCTAGCGAGTTATTAACAAAAGAGAAAAACGACGAAGAGAATCGATCATCGCGTATAGGCCCTTATGCATGCTCACTGTCGAATTATCGAACATTATTTGGATTTCGGAAATGGGCCTAATATGGTCCCTTCGGGGTATTACAGTCACTGCACTTTGCTGGCATGCGATTAGCTTTCCATTATTCAAAATTGCCCTTCACTTCTAGACATTCACACTATATTCATCGTTAAACTTAATAGGATACAATACGAAAATCACACTTGACTACTATTGACTAGGATATTCTACGTTTGCCCTCTCAAGCCCGTGGAATGTGAGCCGCCTCCGGCTGGAATCCATTCTCATCAGCAATGTAGTTGACGGTATACACCTGACCGTCATCACCCGTGTAGGAATACGATCCTCGAACCACCAGAGCATTAATGTCCTCTCCGAAGTTCTTCAGCTGGGCTTCCTCCTGGCGCCTAATCTGATTGCTGGTGTCATACCTTTAAGTTCAAAAAAACCACATTAATTCACGTTCAGCACAAATCTTCAACTAACTTACTGGAAACGGTATCCATCGAGTCCCAGATTGTCATTCTCGTACTTGACGATATGCGCATCCCGTTCCTCTTGCGGTGGAGCAGCTAGGGCAACAGCCAGAATGGCAGCAAAGGCAACAAATAATTTCATTTTGATTTTGTATTCGATAAAGTTCAATACAGGGCGACACCACAATTTGCTAAATCTTTAGTAACTGAGCAAGATTTCTAAGCTCCATTCGTTATTTATATGACCCAGGCTGCCAACTCCCTACCCAGAATTTTTCGACTATCGAAAATCGAGTATTCAAATCAGCCTCCGTAGGCGGCAACGGCAATGGCGGTGGTGCTCCGCTGGATGCTGTGTGATGTAATCTTGCGTGAAGAGTCGTGTCATTGCGCGTTTCAAACGATCGCGGCCGCTGGGAAAAGGTTGAATTTTTTAATGATCCCACTCCTTTGAAATTGGCGCTCGTTTGATGAGTGCAACTTTGACCAACGAAAGCATAACGGTCGGTGGCAGCTGCAGAGATATGCTTCTCTTTTTCGAAGGTGATCCATCGGTAACATCGTTCGAAAGAGATAGTAGGAAATCTGACGTAGATCAGTATATGACCTTTTTCTATGCGTTATCTGAGGGGCGGTTTTCAACCGAACGGCTGACAAACCAGTTTTGGCACGGTGAGAATAGTTCGATCATGCTGCTAGCATCCACCGATTTTTTGCGACGTGCGGGAAAGATGCATCTTTTGAAAGTGGGTGTTTCGGTGGTATCGGGTGTCATGACCTTGAACTAGTTGTATTCTTCGGTATGGGTTGGATGGAGGTCCAGTGAATAGATAATGAAGTCGAGTGAAGTTTTTTTTTTTCGGTGATCGTACGACGAAGACAGATTTGAATCTTTAGTTCAATATAACGCAGTTCAATGTCAACTAAATAATAAAGAGAATGTCATATGGAAATACGTGAGTTCGTATTCAAAGAGGATGATTGTTAATGCTCATCATCTTTCAATAAACAAATAGGAAAATTGGTCAGATCTGAACATAAGGCTTGTGGTGGAAGAATTCAGAGATCAGTGATGTCAAGCATTCGGAATTTTGAATTCACTGCTGATCTACAAACTGATCTCCATTCAAGGGTTTCCAGATTGTATGTTATTTTTTAAAAAGTAGATAAACTCTATAGATCTTAAGCATTTTGATTCACCCCCCGTTCATTCAAATCTATTAGTTTTTAATTATGGTTTATGGAAACTGATCATTAACTTCAGTAACAGTTACTAATTGTTAAATTGTAAATTAATTGAATTGTACAGGTTATAAATATAATCAAATAAACTTTACAGAGCCAAGTAATCGTTTGAGACATACTTATCCCAAGTAACAATCCAGTAACCGTTTAGCATCCACTCTGATTTATGATGGTTTTATAACGGCAATGAACAATCCATTTAGTTTAAATATAGCATTTTAAAGTTTAAAACATTCCTGCTTGGTAATTCAGCTTTTTGCTGTTTTAAAAACCTTTTATAGTCTGGCAAAAATGTCTTGTTTTAAAAATAAATTTAAAACAGTTATCAATCCCTCCTTAAAACTGTTCTGTAATTCAAGCATAAACGTCATTAGCAATTGTTTATTAATGTCATGATAAAATACTTTATAAACGTGTTCTATCATTATAAAAGCAACCATAAAACAATTAGGTTTTGCATTAGAGAAAAAAGCATTTATTATTGCTTTTTAGCCTTTTTAAAAAGCATCATTAACTCCCCAAATACTTTGTTTACAAATTGAGCTTAAAAGATGGTTCCTCGTAGTTAATAAATGCCAAATTTATGACAAGGAAATCTCGAAGGATAGACAAAGTAGGATGAAAAAATAAAGTCAATTTCAGATAAATTTGCTTCTTTAGAAGAACCAGCACACCACCAATGACTGACCATCTGTCGGAAAAGAGTAAAGTGAGCGGGGCCCTCGAACTCATAAAACATTGTCTAAAGTTGAAAAACATACCAGCCTTCTCCAGATCTTGCGATGACAATTGAAATAACAACCGACAGCAAAACAATGAAACTGTTAGTTAGCGGAGATCAGCTGGTTTCTGTTCCAAAACAGCGATTTTATTCGGCGAAAGACTCTTCGAAATTTTATTCATCCGTACATCTCTGCATCATTGGATGGTGCACTTCTGTAACCATCCGGAAGAAGGGGATCTTTTCCGGGAACGATTGCGCTTCCAGCTGTTCGAAATGCGAAATGTTGTAAAACAATATCGCAAACTATCTGAGTAACTGCTCCCAATCCATCGGGAGAAAACCGCCTGGAAGAATCCTGGATCTCACAGCGCAACTATCGAAAGATAAACAAACTTTGACGTTTAACTTTTTGCAGGCAACTTTGCCTCCATAAATGCTGCCATAAATCTGAACGGGTTAGGATCAAGCAAAATGGCTTTAGATAAATACAATTCAGCCTGCAAGTTTTCTTCATAAAAGCCATTTTAAAACCTTATTGAATTCTTGAAAGCAAAACAACTTTTTCGCAAATGACCCATGAAAATTAACTTTGATGCCGCCGCCATGTTACAATTAGTTTGCTTGTTTTTTTACAATCTTCGATTTTCAATCAATATTTCCTTATATATAACTATATTTTGGTAAATTTACCAATGTGCAAACATTTAAATGCGAAAATAATAAAAAAAAAAATCTCGGCCAAGCTCGATCTAAAGAACATTTTTTTTTTTTTCAATGTTAAATAATTGGTCAAATCGACGTTTTACGAGGGTGGACTTAATTTTTTCGATGTTTTCACGTACATTTCACATAAAATTTAATATGGAAGGGTTTTTATTGTTGCTAAATAGCTTTTATTGTAGCTTTCAAATGGTTCTCAATGCGTTCGTCATACAACCTTTTGCAGTAAATCAATCTTGAAGAGCTTCGAGAATACAGCCTTCAGAACTTTCTCCAGGGTGGGCCAACTAGACATATTCTAATCTTAATGAGGTTTTGGTGGATGCATTAATTACAGAATAGCCTTGACCAGGGGTTTATGAATGTTGTTTTATAGTTGTTTTGTAGTATTTAGTAAAACTTAAAATGTTACTTGGGATGCTTTAGTATATTGTCTTTAATCTAGAGATAATGGAATTGATTAATGAAAATGCTGAGGTTTTGACAGAACTGTGATGTGGCTACCGCAGTATTTTAAATTTGATCATCTACGTAAATTAGCGCCAAAAGCATGCTGAGATGGGTTCAAAACATGACCATCTAAATTGATTAATTGAACCAAGTTCTCGCGAGGATTTTTTAATTTCCTCTGAAAGCTTATTTCGACTGCCCACTGACAAATTTGTGCCAACCTTCCAGGTTGTTTCTTTACCCGAGCAAAGGATTATACCAAATTGATAACAAGTTCTGATACTCGGCTATCAAGATTTTATAACTGAATATGTAATCATTGCGGTTGAATCTCTTCTTGAGGGTAAGAAACATCCGTTAGGGATCGAAATAAAAAAAAACTTTCAGGAAAAATTGTAAGAAACTAGCGAGGAAGATTGGAAGGAGCTTTCGGGAGAAGTCTACCCGACCATAAGGGAATAACACATTTATTACAGCTTGTGTTATTTTGTTTCACTATAATTTGTAACACAGCTTGTTACACTTAAGATCCTGGATGTAGTTAAAATAAAAAAAAATATAACAAAAATTTCCTTTAGATACAACAAAAATATATTTCACTATGATACTTTCATAACAAAAACATAACAAATTTTGCAACACAATTCTGTTGTGCTATTACAAAATTATATCAAATCGTGTTATAATCATATACACTGGAGTCGCTTTTTACGCGGTTTTTTTTTACACGGTTTTTTTTTACGCGGTTTTTTTTACGCGGATTTCGGAATTTACGCGGTTTTTTTTTTACGTGGATTCTGGAATTTACGCGGTTTTTTTTTACGCGGATTTTGGTTTTTTTTACGCGGATTTCAGAATTTACGCGGTATATCGCTTTTTACACGGTTTTTTCTTACACGGTCTTTTTTTACTCGGTTTTTTTTTACGCGGATTTCGGAATTTACGCGGTTTTTTTTTACGCGGATTCCGGAATTTACGCGGTTTTTTTAAAGCGGTTTTTTTTTACGCGGGACGTATCACCCGCGTAAAAAGCGACTCCAGTGTATTTCACTTTGTAAATCAAAAACTCAGATTGATTAACTGTGTAAATGAAATACAAAACATTATCAAACTTATAGAAAATATAATGCTTGAAAGACACAAGTAGAAATATATTTGATTTTTTATTGGGGTTTGGTCAATAATATCTGGTTGTGATAAAATCTTGTTAAGAATCAGTTACAAAATCATTAAAAAAAATTCAATGCATTTAAATTTGTTTAAGATTTGTTATATTATTTTCTTGGTGATAAGTTTTCTTAACTTAATTACATCATAATCAGTTATCCATAACAAGGCTTGTTAGAATCTTGTTATTTTATTGTCATACCCTTCTGGTCGGGTAGAGAAACATTTGGGAGAAGTCTATCCGAGCAAAGTTAAATAACAACCTGATATCATCTTGAAAACAAGTCTTGTTATTCCAGATATCATTTTGTTTTCATTTGTTATCGCATTACATCGACTAATTTTGTTATCACTTGATATCATGAAAGAATATGAAATGATGCAAGGTTACTTTAAAACTTCAAATATTACCCGCGTGGCATGAAAAAAACACACTGCCAATTATGTTTCAGTTATCTGCGTAACGCTCTAATACCAAATCTATAAAATTATAAAAAAAATTGTTGAAAATATTCGCATGGATCACAGGATTTGTTATTAAGATGTTGTCAATGATTACTAAATCCGTTATTTTTTTGATATCCACGGAGTAATTTTTTGTTATAATTTGTGTTATGTTGGCTGCTTACCCGAGCAAAGTAGAATAACAACCCGATATCATCTAGAAAACAAGTCTTGTTATGCCAAAAATCATTTTGTTTTCAGTTGTTATCACATATCTTATATAGTTATCATCCTTGATCAATGTTGTTATCAGTTGTTATCATGAAAAATTCACTATATGTTTATTAACGATGCAAGGTTAGTTCAAAACTTTAAATATTATTCGCATTGAA